AGCAAGGGGAGCTGAGAGTTGGGAGCAGGGAGAACAGGGATATGTGAACAGGGGGAGCTGTGATAACAAGAATGGAATCTGGGGGATAGTCAAGTAGAGAGCACCTGAATAAACAGAAGATAAAAGGTTGATTCATAAGGAATTGTTTTAGTTTATTAAGCATGAAAAGGGTAGAACTTAGGGCATTATTTTAGTTTAGGTAGTGTAAAAACAATGTATTTGCAAGGAAGAAAAACTAGATGCAGCTGGACTCAGGACCTGGCAGTATGTGCCAAACTCAAAGGTGAAAAGATCAAGCTGATGAAGACCATCGGCCTTCCAACGACCCCCGGCCAACCACCAGAGACCATGGGCCTAATGCCAAGTGGGAGGAGATGAAGGAGGAGATTATGATAATGATTTACAAGAACTAATTGTAATAATGACCACCTATTCCTGGAAATAATGAATATGTATGAGTTCTTTAATGTATGTAAACTGTAAAGTTTTTTTTGTCCCTGGTTGCACAAGTTTGGTGGAACGATCCCCCTGGTGCCCAGCGCTGAATAAACAAATACCTGCTATTCAGAGATACAAGTCTGGGAGTAGTTCTTTTCCAGCCTTTCCTTGGCACAGCTGGGAGCAGGGAGTTGGGACGTGCTGGGGCTGAGCCCAACGGGCACAACCCCGGGCCGTGCTCGGTCTGTGTCCTGCTCCAGCCCCGTAATGACCTGGCAGCAAAGGGAAATGACCTCTGTGCTGCCTCCCAGAAAAGCAGTGGTTTAGCAATCAGGCCGGAGTCTGGTTAAAATGGAATTACTTCTTATGTTTATTCGTTATTTTCACGTATTTACATGACTGTCATCCGCTTGTCTCAGTTTTATATTACACCGAACGCCTGTTCATCCCGGGACCGCGAGGTGGTGGCTGCAGCCCAGAGGGCAGTGCCTGCCAGCAGCACAGCGACGTCTGTGGTTAGTGCAGCTATGGATAAAAAAATCCCAGTGCTACAGCCAGTAGTAACAGTGACTCAGAAGTGAAATACTGTGTTTCACCTATAGCAAGTACAGGTTTGATGCACAGGCACTCAGGACAGCCCCGTGTGGAAGGAGCACAGCCACAAGGTTCTTGATGGAGACTGCATCAGATTAAAGACCACGGGACATCCCTCCCCAGCAGTGAGAGCACTGGGTGTGGAAAGTAACAAGCTCAGTGGATGGTCCCATTTGGTTTCATTCTTTTCTCTGTCTCCTCCAAGTTTCTCTGGGCTTCTTTTTTGTCCAGTGACTGTAAATTTCCTCTACTTTCCTCTACTGGAAGGTGAAAGAAGGCCCATGGAAGCAGCTGTGTTCTGGACTGGTCTCTATCCACAGCCTGCCCATCCTCTGTGCACTTACCTCTAAAGCAGCAGAGCTCAGGAGAAACTGTGTAGGATGGGTTAAGGAGGGATGTGGAATCTGAATGTAACCCAGAGAGGATTCACTAGACAAGACTTTTGGTATTGCCTTCCAAGTAATTCTTCTACAGGTCAGAAACCCAGTATCCATCTAACAGTGCCTGGGAATCCTGGGTGATTCAACATCAGCAATGATAGGAGAGATGCTCCAGCTTTGGACTGATCTTGTAAACCGTGATGATGTTGTATTGCTGGTTTCTGCCCCAAATTCCACCCCAACCACACAGGGGCAGCTTCCAGCCCTACCCCACTCCCCTGACGAGCAGGTGCTGTTGGCACTTGCCCTGGAAAGAGGCAGGAAAAGGCATTCAAATGTTAGTGCAGCACATATGTAAACAGCAGCTTATCTGAAGAGAATGTGGTAGGACAGAGGTGGCCTAGAAGTCACCACTTGGACTGTGCTAGTCCAAGCCTTGGATCGGACATAAAACAAGAAGGGGAATGACAGTAGCCATGAGTGAGTATTGCCTCATCTTATCACCTGCCCCAGAACACTGTGGTGTTTGCATCCCTTCAAGGGAATCAACATATTCACTCCCCAGCCATTCTGTGTATGTTCTCTTCTCTTCTACTGGCACAATCTCAACAGCAGAATCCTTAAAGATCAAGTCTTTTCCTTGAAAAGTTGAAGAATCAAACATTTTAAATCCATTTTCATTGCTGCTGTTTCCAAAGTAGACCTGAAAAGAGTGAAAAATTTTCAGTATTTTACAAGATTAAGTGCCACATTCCTCTTGTACAACACAAAACACAACAGGACCTGTTTTCTAAATAAAAAATTCATACACAGTTGCAGAATCTCTCTTATGTGTTTGCTTTTTGACGCTCCAGTAGATTGGATACAGAATTATGCCACTGGCAGTTACAAGAACAGCATTTGTGATTCTGTTTTTATAGTTACTATCTGGAAAGAGATGTTTTTAAAAAAATGCTTCTGCCTAAATATTGTTGTGTAATACAAGGTTTAGCTGCATAGAAGCTACAGAAATGACTAAAGCCTAGTATGGAGAGGAACCTCACTGTGCCAGCCTGAATGGTCTGCCTGGATGCTTTACTGTGTACATGGCTGCAGCATAAATATGCTCAGCAACGTTCTGTAGCATTCCTAGGAAAAATCCATAATGGAAAAGCATTACCATATAGACCTCAAAGTCACATAGAAACATGGGAAAGTCCCAGGAAAACACCTTAAGCTCCAGGAATATTACTACTGCAACCAGTGGCTGGGGAAAAAGTTGAAATGCCTTGTGCACCAGGATGGTTTTAGTGGGAGAGTTGCTTGGGTTGTGTTTTACCTTCTCTGCCACACTCCTAACAGCAGGACCTCTGCACAGTGCCCACACTGCCAGTGCCATGATGCAGGGGGGATGACATGGCAGCATGGTCCTGTGTTAGAGCATGTGTAATTCCCCTCTAAAATAAATGGGTTATTAATACCTGGGCTTTGTCCAGTAGTCCATATAGAGCAAAAACGTTGACATCTGGGTGAACCATAATGGCCTGAGCTGGCACCCGTGCCAGGTGACAATCTGCAAACTGGGTGACCTCAGCACGGGCACCATTTGGACACAGTAACTGGAAATCACTGGACTTCAAGTTTTGGGCCCAACTAGCACTGTTTTTACCTGAAAAAAAAAAAAAAAAAGAAACTGGTCGTTGTCACTCACTGAATGCTTTAGAGCAAGAAAAAAACCGCCCTGAATTGTAATAAATAGATATATAAAACTAAGTACCATCTGTGTTCTCAAACACTGTTGAGTGCTTCACAAAAGCCACATCCCCAGAGTCCTGTGCCAGGCACCTACAAGAAATCAAAGATATGAATTAAATTCAAAGCATCTTTATGTGAACCATATTTTTTGCTAATAACTTGCAGGTATAGAATACTATTTTTCTTGTATACATTGCTGAAAACAAATGTAGCAGACCCGAAGTTAACAAGAAAAACCGAAGAAATTAAGCATCTTGAAAGGAGAGAAAGACAACATCTTTGTAAAGTATTAAAAAAAAACTGAATTAAGAATTTTAAGAGAAGAATCCAGGAGAAAAATGTCATTAAAAACAGTGTGAGAAACAACAGAAAAGGTCAGTATTAGCTGAGTAAAGAGACAGAAGATCTCTCATGTGATATCTGCAGCCTTTCCAGCCCTATACACTGGAGATCTCTAGTTAATCTAACTGCAGTTTCTAAGGGTACTGTTCCAGAGCTAAGTTCAGTTGCCCTAAAATCACCTCCTCTCCTAAGAGTCCTATATACTATTACGGAGAGAGTCAGGGCAAAGATGTAGAACACACAGTTTTACCAGTGTTTGTCATACTGTGGGGTGTTCTCTAGCACACAGTGCAACAGGCACCACAGGCTGTTAGGAGATTTTTCTGCTAGCCTGAAATATGAAGTCAACACACAGGAGAAATGCACAGCACTTGCTTCATTCAGCAAGAAATACATAAGCAACATCAACCTCAAAACAGTGAGCTGAGTGAGCTAGCAAAAGGATCTATCTTCCCAAATATTTTGGGCAGTGTGTGCTGGCAGAGGATCTGGGGGTAACAGTTTAGTGGTGGTACTTTGTAGTTTATTCTGCAAGTGTTTTCAACAAGCATTTCTTAAAACAAGATAGTTAAACCCACCAATGAAATAGATGTAAAGCTGTAACTGTGCATGACTTACGCAGTACAAAATGTGAGGGAAAGTTATGACTGCTAACAGTTACCAAAAATACATGTATTTCAGTTGTACCTGGCTTAGCATCAGCAGTTAGAATCAAAGGGCTTACCACAATGTGGCTGACACTGTCACACACAGAATGAGGACTCAGTAGGTGCTGTTCAGTTCATTTCCACATCAGAAAATGCTGTTCCTGACAGATTTTTCACTACTCTGTACAGTTTAATTTGCCCCAGGCAGTGGGATACACACAAACTGAGTGGCCTCTCATACCTCAAGTTAACCTGAAGACAGCCAGAGCTGATGGAATCTGGAAATGTGAGGCTAAATTTTAAATTTATGTCAATCACCTTCCATATCTCATCCTTCTTTCAGAGAGGATCACCTAAGTGTCACAGCCAGACCCACCCTCCCTCACAGAAGACTGTGATCCTCTGTTTTTCACCCAAACCTTAACCTTTTAAAGTACCTAAAACTTTCCACATCACTTGATGAATTAAACATCTTCCCTTTCAAAAACAAAAGGTGATCCCTGTATAAAGTTTGGGCTGTACAGGAGCTATTATCAAATGCAGAACCTTAGGGTAAGAGCAAGGCTCATGCAGCCTGTAAAAGCATTTGTTGCTCATTCCTCTGGTGACTGGGGAATGGCTCTGTTAGTCCAGTACAGCAGAGGATCTGGAGTTTGCCTGCCAGGCATGTACCACAGCAGAGCAGCTGGACACAACTAAATAGCTTTGCAAAAAGTAGTTATCTAAGTGTACCATTTCAATATTTACCAGGCAGCTGCTGTTGAAGTCTCTTCCCCAAAGGAAAAAGAACTTTTTCTGCCAGCTCTGGCATGACCTTCAGAGGTGAGGGTCAGGAAAAGGAAGTGCTTGTTCCATATCTAAGAGTTTCATAGTCTTTCGGTATGGCTCCATGTGGACATGTACACTGCTACACAAAGTATTTATTCCATTTTCTATTATGATATAAATATGTATTTTTAACAGATCTTGTTTTGAAGATGATTTGATAGTTCAACATTGGCCATAGCTGTTTGTGCTGTTCAGAAATCCACGTTCAGATACAGCCACCAGTGATTGAGAGCAATGAGGATGCACTGCTGGCTCCCTGTCACTAGAGTCTGCCACCCTGCATGGCCTTACAGCAGCCAGATCCTGCTGTGCCTGCTTCCCTGCTGGAGCTCCCTATGGATGACCTGCCCATTCAGACTAGCAGACTATCTGCCACACTACATTAAAGCAAGACTAGAGACTGATGACAATCTCCTTGGTCCTCACTTGGTAGGTGCCCACTGCTCTGTACACAGACATAAGGGTTAGGCTGTTGGTCATCTGGCTGTCTGTGCACCACAAAGCTGGCAAAAGGTTTGGACATGATCTGGTGCAATGCCTTGTGACATACCTGTATTGCTGAAGACACCTGGGGACATGTGTCCCACCTCATTTACAGCACATGCTGCAGCGACAATAACTACTGTTTGCTGACTAGGATGGAAACCAAGTCCTCCTTGCATTCTGACAAGTTGAAAAGCAACAACCATATGTAATCCTACCTGAAGGCTCCACTGTAGCTGTAATAACGTTCTTGGCTGCTTGCACTGCATTTATTGTTTCCATTCTCATCTCCAATACACAGCTGACAGAGTTTTGATGGGTAATTGTCCTGCTCAGCTGATGGCACACAGCTGGCAGAGAAAAACTCACTCACAGCTGGGGAAAGACAAACCAACATAAGAAGTGAAAAGTGTGGGATCCTCACAGAAGGTCAGTTACACTGTCATGAAGTAATAACCAGTGCAGGTTTCAGCAGAACACCAGAAACATGAGTTCCAGCTGCACTGCTGGAATTCACAGACTAGAACTTTTAAAATCTTTTCAAAGCACTATTTAGCTGACTGTAATGAAACCAAAGAGCTTCCTAGGAGATAGGAAATAGGCAAGCAAAATTAGAATCATAAATCCTTTTCCTATGCTACATTGCTTCATTACCTAATGTGGTTTGAAAATAAACACAGTAAAGCTCCAGACAGGGATACAGAGATGCATCATTTACTGCAATGATATCCCAGAGCTGAAAGTACCTTCTAAAGGGGATATGCCTGTATTTTCTGTGACTGTTCTATTATAGCAACCTGATCTAGTGTGGAGGTGTCCCTGCCCATGGCAGGGGATTGGGACTAGATCTATAAGGTCCATTCCAACCCTTAAATTCTATGATTCTGGGATTCAATGATCATTGATATCTGACTTGGGTCAATGTCCTTAAGCAAAAGCTGAGGCAGTCAGATGTAAATGCAGGATTTTCAAGGCAACATGATAGGCTTAAAGTTGATTAAATACAGACAGCAATGCATTCTGAAAACTGAAGTAAACTTTGGCAGTTTGATACACTGGAAGGCCAGGACTGCCACTGAGATGGATCTGAACAGGCTGACAGGAACCTCAAAGTTTGACAAAGGTGAATGCAGAATCCTGCTTTTAGGATAGAGTAAGAACACAAAAAGGCTGGGGGCTGGCAGGCTGAAAACCAGCTCTGTGAAAAACAGATGTGGGGATCCTAGGGGGCAACAGGGTGAGCAAGAGTCAGCAGTGTGCTTTTGTGCCAGTGAAGGCTAATGGCACACTGGGGGGTGTTAGGGGAGCAGTCAAGGAGAGGTGGTTCTCCTCTGACACCCGTGCCAAGGTCTGAGCTCCCAGTGTTAGAAACACATGGACATTCTAGAGCAAATAAAGTGAAAGGAGAGCAGCATGCTGAGAGGGCTGGAGCACAGCTTGCCCTTACCAGACTAAGGGCTGGATTTAGTCAGCCTAGAGATGAAGACAACTAACAGTGTATTGCTGTCTTCATTTATACAGTGTGTTTTTCAGGAAGACAGAGCCAGATGCTTCTCAGGGATGCAGAGCAAAAGGATGAGAAGCAACTGTAAGGGACCTTTAAGAAATGTAGTTTTCGACATTGCCTGGCTTTGGTGGCTTGTTGTGGGGCAAAGGCTGGCTGATTGCCAGGGATGCCTCCAGCCATGGAAATCCTCCAGCTGCTGAGATGAGGTGCCACTGTCCACCACTCAAATCCTCCAGCTAAGGAGGGTCATCCCCTCCAGCTGCTAAAATAACCAGGCACCACTGTCCCGTGAATCTCTGGCCACACCTGAACCTCAGGACACTCACGAGGTGCCTTCTCTGGGAATTGCTATGAGCTCATCCTGCAGCTCAAGGGGAGATGACCAACCAGTGCCCTGGCAGAGCCCTGTAAAAACGACAGCATCCAGAGTGAGGGTGCACACACCACTGAAGAAAAGACAACTATGGATCATCAGAATGCTGCTGGACCTGTGGTGGTGACTATCCTTCTTCTACACAACTTTGGCTCATCTGGATCCATGGTGGTGACTCCCTCTGCTTTGGCATACCAAATCTTGCCTACTTCTAACTATCCCCCTTTCCTATTTCTAACTTTCCTATCACCTCTTCTCTCCCCCTTGTGTGGGCAAAAATAAAGTCTCATTCCCTAATGGTATTTTGACCTTGTTTTTGTCTTAATTCACATTGGGGGAATCGATTGAACACTCCTGAGTCTTATCAGACCTGGACAGCAATAGACTGAAGTTACAAGATGGAAAATTCTGATTAGATCAGAAGAAAAGATTTTTTTATACCAAGGACGGTCAAACACTGGGTCCAGAGAGGTTCCACGTGATCTCTGTCCTAGGAGTGTCACAGAACCTGCCTGGGCACAGCCCTGAGCAATCTGAACTACCAGACCTGCTTTGAGAACTTGGTTGAACTAGATGACCTTTAAGGGTCCCTTCCAGCCTAAATTAGCCAATGATTTTGTGATAAAAGAGAGGAATACTTCTGTGTTAGATGTCACATTCTCAGTTCCCTCCACCAGCCCACTCTGGTAGCAAACTTAAAATTTCAAATCATAACATTAAAAACACAATACCCCTTCACAAACAGATACACTTAATACAGAGCTTGAAATATCACAATTACTTCCCTAATTAAAGTTGATCATTAGACTATTACTGTATTTTTTATATGTAATACTGTTGTCTTACCTTGAGGAATATTACAGTCTCTGGCCTTAATAATCCCCCTCTTAATTAGTATGCCAATAGGAATATTCCATCCAGCATTTCTCCCCAGTCCTGTATGGCAAGACTTCTTCCCTTTCAGGTCACTGATGGTGAATGCATTGGACACATTTCGTTTCACTAACACCACGGCATAGTATGCATTGCTGCTATCATCAGCTGGTAGAAAAACAACATCAAAAGACATTACAGCTTCCCTGAAGTATTCCCACTGATTAGTGACCATTCGTGGATCCATTACCCTTATCTGGTGCCAACTGCAACTGCACCATCAATCAGCTAGTCAGAAGTAGAGATGTACACATAATTACTCTTCACTTCTACTGCCTCATGCTGCTGCATTCACCTAGAGCCTGTCAGCTGGTAGTGCTACACACCTGAGCTGATAACCTAGAGATAAACACCAAAGTGTTTCTAGTTAACACCAGCTCTTATAGACACATCCCTCTGAAAAACAACATTTGGGTTATTAGCAACTTAGCAAATTTGCTTTAACAAGTTATTTTTATGCAAAACCTCAAACCTGTGTTAAAATTTTGATGAGTTTTGCAGCATATTGAAACTCTGTCTTAGTGACACTGTAGACATAAGGCTTCTTTTCACTGGTGACTGAAGCAGTCACATTGACAGCAAGAACTTGCTTCTAACCAGAATCTACTGTGTCATTTCTGTATTTTTATGTTAAAATATTTTGACTTTGTGAATACTAAGATTTTCCATTGTAAATATTTTTTTGTGGAACTGAAAAGACAAATAAAGAGGCACAAGACTCAGAACTGCCAAAGACTCAACCTAGTCCTGCAGCAGGACAGATAAAAGTTGCATCACTGTAGAAGCTCATCTCATACTCATTTCCTCCTCTAACCATGATGTGAGGGTAATAATTCTCATTTCCTTTGAAAACAGTTTGCACAGAAGAGCTAGGGAACAAAGGGCTGTGCTTTTTGAGCTGTTTTCAAACAACCTGGAAAAATAAGGTCTGTTTCCTAACCTTCTTACCAGAGTAACTTTCTCCAGCTGCTGGTACAAGGCCATATGTCTTCCCAGCTGTGTAAATATCAGCTCCACCCAGAACTACAGCATCACTTTCCTTTTTCTGGAAAAATAAAAGAAAATGCAGGATTTCTGTGAAAAAAAACAGAAATACTTCCCCTGCTACTGGTGACACGTTGTTCACCATCACACCTGTTGTACCCTGAAGGGCAATGCTTACAGCAAAAGAGCAATATGTGACTAAAGAAAATCTCCAAATGTGCATAAAACATCATCAGCAAAACAGGGACAGGAGATTTCACACATACAGGCCTGAGTTAGGTGGGCAACAGTGCCCTCATCACAGCTGAAGGTCATCAGGGTTCAGCTCCACCCCTGTCATCCCAGCTACAGATCACCTCCTTGAAATCCAGTGTTCCTACCAGTCAGCTAAGTGAGCACATATATATCTAACCCTGCCTAGAGAGCAGTGTTTGTCATTTGGTTTATTGCACAAGGATTGTAGCAGCCTACCTGGATCAGCTCCATGCAGTGTTCCTTTGTCTTGGCTGAAATACACTGAATTGCTGGTTTCAAATTCTTTTTCCTAAAGGCAATGGCCATTTCACCACACTTCCAAATCTCCTCAGTGGATACAACACACCAGTTCAGGCTTTCTGGCAATGCTGCACAAAATTGAAAAGCCAATAGTACATCCACTTTCTTTGCAACACAGAGACATTCACACTGCTCACTGTCACACATGTCCCATACATGTTGCTAAAAAAATGTTTGCTTCTGTGTTGCTCCCCATCCCTCCAGCTCAGCCTGACACTTGATGAGGAACCAGGGCACTGCAGGTTAGTGCTATGTCCACACTGCAAACCTATCCACAGCAAAGTAGCAACTCCTCCTACAATTGCTGGCCACTAGGCACAGCCATAGTGTGTTAGATGAGTGCAGCAAAAAGCCTCCCTGAACACAGATTGCCTGAAAGCACAGAGCACTGTGCAAAAGCAACCAGTGGGGAGGTAAAGGGTCTTTGCCACAGCACAGAGCATGTCTGGGAGGCTCAGTTGCCAGGATTATGAAAGTTCTTAAGGCAAGGATTATTACAGCCTGTGTTCCTGACCTTCCCAGAACACATATCAAGTAATTTCTACTTTCTTCTGATAGTATGCAAGACTGTAATGATTCAATAAAGAGCAACTGAGGGTTTCCTTCAGCTTCCGGTGGAAATCCTCTGCTAGGAACCCATTCATCCATTTTTATAGACTACCTGAGGATTTGTGCAGCAGTGCATTATGATTTCCCCTTGTCAGCAGGTGAGAAATTAAGTACCAGGCAGCAATAGCAGCTTACCAGATTAATGGTAATACACCAGAAGGGGTAGAAACTGCCTGCAGCTTATAACACAAACTGTGCCAATTTGCACAGGAAAGTATTCTGCAATGTGGTACTGTTTCCAGGACAAAAAGTGACCTTTCTTTCAGATCAGACTGACATCAAGCCATAACCCTCCAAGAGTGTGAAGAATATAAAGCAGAATCAAGATGATCTGTGTTCTCAGCTATCTCTGTTCTTGGTTATGAATAGGAACCTACAGACAACTTACTGTTGGGGTTGCAGCTCAGAGCTTGCATGGCACGAAGATACTCCTCACCCAGCCAGGCCTGGTAATTCTGAGCAGTGATTGCAGTGAGCTCTGTGGTGGAGTCTCGGAACAGAAGATTTTGGGCTCTGTAGGCTGCAGAGTCAAACATCTGAAACTTGGCACCCACCCCATTAAATCTTTGCTGTAAATGAAAAGAAAAAAGCACCTGTCACACATCCCTCCACCTGGGCTGTGTGACATCCCACAGCCCTTCAAGCTCCACAGAGTCGAAGGGGCGTAGACATCCTGTCTTCAGTGGGTGGGAGAAATGCAATGTACTGATGAAAAAATGGTATCCTACTTGTCCCTGGTTTAGGAGCTGGAAGATAACTGTCCCATCTGTATCTGGCCGCACAACCACGGCCCGAGCAGGGACTCGGGCCAGGTGGCAGGTTCTCCACTCGGTCACATCAGCTGTGTTGCCATTGTGACACACAAGTTGGAAGTCCTGGGAGCGAAGCCGCTGAGCCCACGAAGAAAGACTTCTCCCTGAAAGCAGACAGGACATGCTTATGGAACAGACACCAGGTGGGGCTGATGCTTCTTGGCTCCAAGTCTGCTCTAAGCCTCACTTGCACATGTGGAGCAGAATAGACATCTCCTGAGCATCTCTGAACTATTCCTGGCTGCACAACACACCCCATGCATCTACATGGTCCTTGAGTCCTGCATCTCTGATGAGACAACAAACAGCTTAACACTTGTGAGACTGCACTGGGGAACTGCCCCCTGTATAGAGGTCTGCAGCAGTATCAAGAGTATCCCTACGTTTAGGATCACATGCAACATTTTTTTTGGTTTTTCTTTCCTCTGGGTCAGACAGGTCCACGATATTAAAGCAATGTTATGCTCAGGGTAGTTTTCACACGGTGTCAGACAGGACAGGTCAACATCTTAACTTTCTGCCAGTCTCTGCTGAGATCCCTGGGTAGGCTGGAGCAATCTAACAGCCCAGGTCTATATAGAGTTAGCTGCTGTTGAAGCTCTCTTTCCAGAAGCAGCTTAAGATTCCACCTCTAACCTTTAACCTTTATTGAAACTATCAAACATTTAAAAAAAATAAGCCCATGGACTCCTCTACATCCTGTGCATACCTCTGTGGGCTCATCTGCTTTCACTATTGCAGCATTTTTTTTGCTGATTCAATATAAATTCAAAGTGCATCGAAGATTTGATATTATACTGTCATTACAGACACGATTTCAAACCTTGCAGCTATTATTCAACAAGCTTCAGGATTACTCACCATCTGTATTTTCAGGCACTGTGCTGTGCTTCACAAAAGCAACCTCTCCAGCACCTTCAGCCAAACACCTGACAACACAAACCCAACCACAAAGAGGCATTACAAAATGCAGCTCCCTTGCACTGGGCACTGCTGGCTGAGAGCCTCAGGGCTCTGTGCCACGTTCCATCAGCCACAGACAATGACCTATTTCCTTGTGCTGAGAGTTTTGCTCAAGGCACAGACCAGTGGCTGTTAGAGCATGAAGTAAACTATCATTGTCATTTGGTGAACATGGACAACATGTTCAGTGCTGCCTGGGACAAACACCGTGACCTTCTTTGTCCAGGACAGTTCTAAGGCAGTCACACAGTCCTTTGGGGAATATGCAGAGAGGAGCAAGTGCTTCTCAAGAGCAAATTCTGCTGATGCTCAGTTAATGCTGTTACTCAGGGACTGGGAGCTGCAACACAGTACACAGCCAAGAAGGAGGAAGATAAGGTAAAGATTAGTGCAAAAATGAAGGGCACAGCAACTCAGTAATTCAGTGCAGCTGAGATGGGATGACTGGAATAGCCAAGTAGGGTGGCAGTTCAGCTCTCAAGACTCCAAGGGTCATCAGGTTTTACTGGGAAAGATAAAGTCAAGAAAGATAAAGTCGATAAAGCCTGTTGGAACAAACACTCAGTTTGTGTCAATAGCTGCTGGACATAGCAAACAGCAGTGGGCTTTTCCTGCCCAGCAGATGTGCTAAACATCCCTTTGGTTTTATTACTCAGGTAGTAATACCTGAAATAGTGGGTTTAGAATTACCTTTGTTCACTCTCTAGGTTTAAAGCACAGCTGACCTAGCAAAACTGTAGATTTTCTAGTAAGATAATTGAACACTCTGTGGCTTCAATTTCCTGTCAGTGAGGTCTGGACATGATGGCTATGGAAAGCACAGTGATAAAAAAACTGACAGAGCCCTGATTTTTACCTGAAAGCTCCACTGTAGTCATAGTATTGCTCTTGGGAATTGCGTTCGCATTTGTTCCGTCCATCCGAATTCCCTTTGCAGAGCTGACAGAGGGATTTGGGATAGTTGGCAACATTTGCTCCAGGAACACAGCTTGCATTGAAATAGTCACTTACAGCTAAATGCAAAATTAGAATGAGATTATTTTAGCAAGGAATAAACAAGATCCTACATTTTAACACATCTATACAGTACATCTCTAAAAACACTTGGAAGGAGTTAATAATTTTCTTTTTTAAAGATGGTTTCCAAGTTTATAAAACAACAACCCTGCAGTCTTCATCAGACCTACATCAGGTCTATTCCACTGCACAAGGAGTACCAAAGCCAAGGAATGAAACAGCAGCTGAATCACATGTCTGTCCACACACAGGGTCCCAAGATGATCAGAAAGGCACTGCTGAAGAACAGATCTTTGCCCTATAACTCTTACCTCTGGGAAAGTCACATCCCATTGCTGCCAGGCGCCCACTGTCAGTGAGATAACCCACTGGCACATCCCAGCCTGCAGTTCTGTTGATGCCTGTGTGACAGGAACGGGCACCCTTCAAGCTGTTGATGGTGATGTTGGAATTCTTCCTTACCACAGCCACAGCATAATAAGAAGTTCCAAGCTCTGCAGCATAGGAAGAAAGAGAAGGAAACTAAGTAGCCTCACAGCAGCATTACGGTGAGATACATCAATCTGTGGCCTCTTGTGGTTCTCACCCACAGGCAAGTCCACAGTTCATACTCTTGGTGAGAACCTGCTGACTGTGACTCAATGTCTCCCATTATTTTTTCAATGTGAATTGTCTTAGGTGAAGTCCACAGGGAATGTGCTCTAACTCTGAAGCTCATCCTGCTTTAGAAGGGAGGTTCCTTTCTGGAAGAGGTTTTCTATGACTCTATGTATTTAACAGGGGCAGGGGCTGCTAGGTGATTCAAAACCCTCTGGACTGAGCCCAGCAGGCACTTCTGAGGATGCCTTTGGCCAGATGACACTGAGACCCAGCTACAAACCAAAGTCAGCTCTGTCTCACAATTGAGTGGTGGGACACCACTGCCTGCAGAGCTGTTCCTTCCCTGGAGCCTCTGAACATTATGGGGGACATCATCCAGCTCTGAACTACACAAACAGATGACACAAAGCTGGGGGGGAGT